GAGGAGGAGGGTATCGAGCCAAGGTTCGATGATATTCTTAGACTGGTGAAGGACAGTGTCAACCAGGCGATGGGCAAATTCGCCAGCATTTTGCATTCTAAGGTAGAACCTAAGGAACCAGTGAATATAAGGAAGGCATTTGTGGTGAAGTCTCAAGACACAACGAGAAAGGATGAGTGTATTGTCTGCCATAACATGCATCAATTGAGTGATTGTAATCGCTTTATCGCTATGTCACCCGTAGAAAGGTTAAAAATGGCAAAGCAGAAGCGGCTGTGTTTCAGTTGTTTAAAGATTGGGCATACAAAGTGGAATTGTAAGGCGACAAATAAAGGAAGTAGTGGTTTAACGGATATGCACCCACTTCTGAGAACAGTGAACGAACCTGGGAGTTCGGTTAATTGTAATAGTATCTCTAGACCCCTTGACATCCCACAAGTTTTCTTAGGGGTATTACCAGTTAAGGTGAAAGGACCGAAATCTTCAGTAGAGACTTATGCATTGTTGGATAATGGTTCAGACGTTACATTGATAGATGCTGAACTGGCTGGTTGCTTGGGTATTAAAGGCCCAAAGCAACCCTTGGTTGTAAATACTTTCAATTCTGCGAAAACAGTAGTATGTGAGCGAGTGTCATTTCAGTTAGAATCCTTGGCTACAGGGGAGACCGTGGAAGTGGATACTGCTTACACTACCTCCAGTATGAAACTTGGCGAAGCTATAGTACCTAGTCGTGAAACGGTTGTCGGTAAGCCGTACCTGTGTGACATACCTCTTCCAACATTGCAAGATGGAAGAGTGAGAGTACTCATTGGATGTAGTGTGCCAGAAGCCCACAAGGTATTAGAAGAGAGATTTGGAGGTAGAGATGATCTGTTTGCGACAAAAACACCACTGGGATGGACAGTGAGAGGACCTATACCCATAGTCCACATATCATCATTAGTTACAAACGATGGGGACAAACTAGAAACTATGATTAAAAATATGTATGACAAGGAGTTTTGTGACTGCGGTGTCCCAGGGAAAGGTCGTTCTGTAGAAGACTTGAAAGCAGTTAAAATAGCCGAGGACTCTTGTAAATACGAAAACGGGCGTTTCAGCGTTGGCCTACCATGGAGATTCAAAGATAGACAGTTGATTTGTAATAGGAAAGTTGCTCTTAAGAGACTAATGGGTTTACAGAAGAAATTCCTGTCAGATGCAGAACTCTGGTCCAAATATAAGGAAGTCGTCGATAAACATATAGTGAAGGGTTACGTTGAAAGACTAGTTGATCAAAGTGAGCCAGGGAAGTGGTATTTGCCCCATCATCCCGTCTTTAACCCGAGGAAGCCAGGTAAACTCCGTGTGGTGTTTGATTGTTCTGCGAAACACGAAGGAGTCTCTTTAAATGATAATCTGTATAGTGGCCCAGATTGCGTGAGCTCATTAGTGGGACTGCTATTGAGATTCAGAAAGTTTACAGTTGCTGTCGCGGCGGATATTGAGGAAATGTTCCTTCAGGTGAAGGTGCCAGAGAGTGACAGAGATCACTTGAGGTTTTTGTGGTTTGATGACGGTCCTTGTGGTAAGGTGTCAGAATATAGGATGACAGTGCATCCATTTGGTGCCACATCCTCCCCATTTTGTGCTAATTTTGCTCTACGAAAGGCAGTGTCCACATTTGGTTCTAATGATTTGCTGGACGTCATAGATTGTTGCTTCTACGTGGATGATTGTTTAGCCTCCTTCGATGATGATAAGTCTGCAGTTAGATTTGCAACAAGCATTACTGAAGTGTTAGCTAAGGCCGGCTTTCGTCTAACTAAGTGGGTCTCGAACAGCCTAGACGTTTTGAAGCATATAGATCCAGAAGACAGAGCACCTACCGTACGAGATTTGCCTGTTGATACTCTACCAGTTGAACGCACATTAGGTATGCGATGGGATGTGAACTCTGATACCTTTGGATTTAGTGTTGGTGATATTGATAAGCCAGTTACTCGGAGAGGTGTGCTCTCTGTGTTGTCGTCCGTGTTTGACCCACTTGGATTAGTAGCACCTTATCTACTTCCGGCTAGGAGGTTATTTCAAGAGACATGCAGGAAAGGGTTACAGTGGGATGAACCATTAAGTGAGAGGCAGAGAGAAGAGTGGAAGGGGTGGGTTAACAGTTTAAGAATGCTGAATCTACATTCCGTCTCACGTCCACTTAAGCCGTCGAGAAATCATGATATAATTGACTTCCATGTTTTTTCTGATGCCTCTGAGGTTGGATTTGGTGCAGCCGTATACATCAGAACCACCTTAATGAATGATATAGATGTTAGCCTGGTGATGGGTAAATCCAGAGTTGCACCTCTAAAGACGGTTTCGATTCCGAGATTAGAACTTAATGCCGCCTTACTAGCTGCGCAGTTATTCACAACAGTGTGTAAAGAGTTGGATTACCCCAAGCATCCCGTAACGTTTTGGACTGATTCGATGTCTGTGATATATTATATACGCAACGAGTCAGCAAGATATGCATGTTTTGTAGCTAACAGAGTATCTCAAATTCGTGAACTAACCACTGTTGAGCAGTGGAGGTACGTACCGTCTGGAAAAAACCCAGCTGATCTAGCATCGCGAGGAGTTATTGATATGAATGTTGTTAAAAATAAGTGGTGGAAAGGTCCAGAGTTCTTGCTAAGGGCTGATAGTATGTGGCCTCGTAGAGAAGATGAACCACCGATAAACGAGTGTGCCTTGGAGTTGAAGACAAGTGTCAGTTTAACATCTACTCAAGAAAGACATTCAGGTTTACATCCACTTTTTAAATATTATTCTTCTTGGTACAAACTACTGAAAGCGGTTGCGTGGTTGACACGATATGTTACGTATTTAAAGGTCATGCATCTTGCGGGATACGAAAATATGAATGTGGGGCCTTTGAGAGTCGAAGATATTAGAAATGCAGAGTTAACGATTTTGAGGGCTGCTCAGTGGGAAGCGTGGGGTGAGATTACCAAGGAGGATAGTCCCGATTTCGCAGATTTCAAGGTGCGGTTAGATAGATTATCTCCGATAGTTTCCGAAGGGATCGCTAGAGTTGGTGGACGTCTACAAATGTTAGAATCGTCATATGAGACCCGTCATCCGGCTTTATTACCTTGCTACCATCCAGTCACTGATCTCATTATAAGACACTACCATGTTCTTGAAGGTCATTTGGGTACTTCGCAAGTACTATCAAGTATTCGATGTAAGTTCTGGATAGTGAAGGGAGGTACTGCTGTCCGTAAAATAATTGATAAGTGCATGGAATGTAAACTCCGAAATGCTCGTCCAGTACAGCAGATAATGGCACCACTCCAGCGTGGCAAGCTTCTGAAGGGAATTATCCATTTGAGTACGTTGGGGTGGATTTGTTCGGACCTTTTGTAGTGAAGAGAGGCAGAACCCTATGTAAAAGATATGGCTGTTTATTCACCTGTTTGAAAATGAGAGCTGTGCATATTGAGATGGTTCATTCTCTAACTACTGATTCATTCGTGCTAGCATTACATAGATTTATAAATCGCCGGGGTGTACCGAAGATGATGTTCAGCGACAGAGGGACTAATTTTGTTGGCTGTCACGCCGAGCTTAAAGAATACTTCGAAGGTCCTCAAACGAGAGTTCAGGAAGAGTTACTGAAAAGGAACATCGAGTGGCACTTCAACCCACCACATGCCAGCCATAGAGGTGGGCTATGGGAAAGACTTATAGGAATTATCAAGCGTATTTTAAGCTCCATAATTAAAAACCAGAGTTTGAATGACGAAACGCTAGAGACATTTTTTTGTGAAGCTGAACGAATATTAAATGACCGGCCGTTATCGCCTGTGAGGGACGACGTCAAGGATTTTGATGTGTTAACCCCAAATAAATTATTGTTATTGAGAGGCAACCCTGGCATAGAGGACGCAAGCGGGGAAGGAATACCTACGATTAAAAGATGGAAACAAGCCAGGCACATGAAAGATATATTTTGGAAAAGATGGTTTAAGGAGTATGTTCTAACATTGCAGACCAGGGACAAGTGGAAAAAGTTGTGCCGAAACTTAAAGGTTGGTGACATAGTATTAGTAGCAGATAAATGTGCCACAGGTAGGTGGCCTTTGGGAGTGGTAGTAAGGCTGATCTGTAGTGGTGATGGATTGGTGAGGACGGTTGAGGTGAGAACTAGTTGTGGCATGTTGGTGCGAGATATCAGAAAACTGTGTCTCCTGGAAGGTGCTGAGAGTAGAGAGTCGGAGGATGAAACAATAGATGATTTTCCAACCTAGAGCGTCAACCTGAGAAGGGTTGTAGGCGTACTGCTGTAAGTCCTACAATTCTTCAAAGGGTAGCGCATCAATGAGCAGTCTAATGTGCTCGGTGTGTGATTTTGTACATATGTTCATATTGTATATACTGAATTGATATCATCTGTCATCTAGCTGTTGGTAATTCTGTTTGTGTCCGGACATTCCACAACTTACAATCGTCAACCTGTGAAGGTTTGTAGGCGTACTGGTGTAAGTCCTGCAATTCTTCAAAGGAATTCCATCAAGACATGATCGGCGAGTTTGTTTGTACTGTTTGTATATACGTGTGGTGTGTCATATCAATTGGTGTTTTTGGATTCATTGTGTTTACTCGTTGTTTTCGTGTCTTGTTGTTATTGCGTAATTTTGTTAAAATTTTCGTCGTGATTACTTCTGAAGTTGTTTCGAGTCTTCTACATCCATGAATGAATTGATTGATGTTAAGGACAGCAGATGGGTCGTATACGCCGGGGAGGCTAGGCTATTGCTGAGAATGAAATGCACACGGAGATAATTGTTAGCTGCGGTCCGACACGCCGGGGAGAAAGAGTGTAAACGACTGAGGCTCGCATGCGTCACCGCTATTAGAACTGAGGCAGAATGAGTGACAAGCGATTGCAGTGGTAATTGGTAATGAGTAGATAAGAGGATGTGCGTAGAGTATCGTGAGGTGCTGCCATGGTCACTTTGCATTCTGCAAGAGTCATTCTAGCAAGTGGCGATTGTGTTGCAAGATGTCAAGAGGAGGTCTCTGTCTGGAGGCGCAGGTCGTCATTGATGTGTGAGATTGTGCTGTGGGTATGCTTGTGGTGTGTTGGCTTTTCTGTTTGTTTTCCATTTCAGCTCTGTCCGTGTGACCCAGGTTCTCGCAATGGCATCCAAGTCAACGTGCATTAGTCGTGAAGGAAAAAAGGGTTGGATCCCTTTTTTGCCGGGGAGTGTCAATGGAGTTGAAGATTGAACGATCAATTCTTGGTTGTTTGCTCAAAATCAACTTCCTCGATTTTCGCGGAGGCATCAATACGACAGTCATCGTCTCATCGGTCGCTGTTCAGAAAGAAGAGTTAAACATCGTTAGAAGTAACATAACGATTTATTATTGTAATATTTGTTTACAGACCTTAGTTTTCTTAGTTTGCTTAGTGATACTTGATTTATATGCTGGTGTAACAATACATAATACTCAAGTCAACAATTGGTGTTCTGGTTTTTCGTCCGTTATAACTAAGCGTTTCGAAAATCTTCAAGGAACAGCGTGGGCCCGAGCGTAGCGAGAGCTGGGCATTAACGGTTTATGAGACGGTAGCTGACAGGCTCCAAGACTCCTAAAGTCTTGCAGCCAAAGCACCTTCCTTCACAATTCCCTTTAAGTTATAAAAACAACCCGAAGGTGTATACCGGTATGACGAATAGCAGTTGGATGGGTAGACCTTTTGATGCTATGCCTTTTAACCGTCAACCTAGGCCCAACCTGTACTACCCTTATATCCAGGAACACATGGTAAATTTTCCAGGTGTCCCGAATCACTGGTACGACCCATGGCACCTAGGACCACTTCATTGCACTCCAACCCCGATGTACAGACACCCAGTCCGACCTCCCTTTCATTCATAAATTCTTGCGGTGCTGACGCACAAATAGATTTAGGTTATGGTGACATTTTAAGCCAGTTTGTAGTATCCCGTGACTTATTCACGATATTGCTAATTAATGCACGTTCCTTAATCAATAAGATATCTGAACTAAGGACATTATTATTAGTCGCCAAGCCTACTGTAGCTCTGATTACTGAATCATGGTGCTCATCCTCTGTACTTGATGTGCATATAGGTATCGATGATTACACTGTACACCGTGCAAACAGAGATTGCAAGCGTGGTGGAGGATGTCTCATATATATACATAGCTCATTTGTAGTCAGTAAGGTGGAAGATGAAACAATGAATAATGTACCTGACTCACTCTGGGTTGTCTTACATGGAGATAAGTACAAACTTCTCATAGGCTGTGTTTATCGAGCACCAAGCTCAACAAAAGAAACTGATGCGTTATTAGCTAAATCGTTTGCACACGCATCCTCGTTTAGTGCTAATTACAAAATAATTGCAGGGGACTTCAATCTTCCAGAAGTCAATTGGCTAACTAGTTCCGGCCCCCAACGCTTCGACGAATTACTTGCCACTATAGACTGTTATGGATGGCAACAACACGTCCAGACACCTACTCGTGGTGACAACATGTTGGACCTTGTTTTTTGTCATGACACAATCCCAGTATCCACGTATGTTGGTAATCGATTTTCCAGTAGTGACCATAGAATGGTACTCTGCTCTCTGCCTTTCTCACCACTAAATACAGGAAACAAACAAGACTCAGGAAGCACAATATGTCGTAGTTACAAATATACAGACTGGGGATTAGTCCAAGAACTTATTCGACTCTGTCAATGGGATGACTATTTTACCACTGACTCCCTGGAGGCCTTAGTAACCCTGTTTTACAGGAATGTTACCCTTTGTCTAGATACAGTTGCTCCAAAGAAAATAGTGAAATTAAGTAGACACCGAACTGAATATATTCCAAGGGCACACCGTAATAAGTTAAGGAAACTGAAGAAACAGTACTATTCCACTAAGGACATATCACTATTGCTCTCAATCCACGAGTCTCTTGAATCTCTCAAGCGCCTACGCTCTCAAAAGGACCTCGACGAAGAGTTAACGGCACTTGAAAGTACCTCCAAAGTTTATAACTTAACGGCACTTCTTAAAAAACGAATGCAGTCGGCGAGGGAAATCCCATACTTACTTCACGACAAAGTAATCTACAATGAACCTGCCACTATCTGTGAACTCTTCAGTGATTGGTTTGCAAACTTTAGTTTAGAAACACATATGCCTGGTGAAACCGCTCCCCTTACTATCTCTTCCCTTGAAAGCATTGTGTTCACTAATCAGTTAATAGTACAAGCAATTAAAAGCCTTAAACCTTCCACTAGTACGGGACCGGATGGCCTCGCTTCGATAATTTTCAAAAACAGTGGGTGTGATATACCCTTGTTACTTCTTAAATTCTTCTCAATATCTATGGACACTGGCACTTACCCTAGTGAGTGGAAAACTAGCTTCATAATTCCACATTACAAATCTGGTGATAGGGCAAACGTCCGCAATTACAGACCCATAAATATAACCCCAGTTATCTCACGAATCATGGAGAAAGTTGTAAAAGATCAATTGTCAGACTACCTAATTAGGGAAGATCTTGTTACAAGGTCTCAACACGGATTTCTCAAAAATAGATCCTGCGTTACTTGCCACTTCGACTTTTTCAACTGCATCACTAGTAGTCGCGAAGCACGTAAGCTAGTCGTTGTTCTCTACTTCGATATATCTAGGGCATTTGACATGGTATCTCACAGTATTCTCTTTGAGAAGCTGTACTCTTGTGGAATTCGCAACCCATTACTGAACTGGTTAAAATCATTTCTAAGCAACAGGGTACAAATAACCAAAGTTGGATCTGTATTGTCTCATCCTAGGCAGATCTCAAGTGGGGTCGTGCAAGGTAGTGTCCTAGGTCCACTTTTATTCACAGTCTACATTAACAGCATTTGCAAGTGCTTCACCTTAGGCAAACCATTCCTATATGCTGACGACCTCAAAGTCGTCTACTCCTGCTACACTCATGAATTAAGCGATATGGTTACTAAAATACATCTTGAACTAAGTAGTCTCGCATCATGGTGTGCTGATTCCTGTCTAAATTTTAACATTGACAAATGCGGCTGGATTTGTATTGGCAACAGTAACCTTGATCTAACTCTTGAAATAAATGGGCGAAAACTAGCTAAGCTCAACTCAGTCGTAGATCTCGGTATTAGATACTCTAGTAACCTAACGTTCGCTGAACAGACTGATTATGCCAGACGTAAAACGCGAAGGCTGATAGGATGCATAACACGCAATTTCTTTTGTTGTGAAACTAGGGTTTTATTATACAAAGTATGTGTCCGACCTATCTTAGAATACTGCCCGTTTATTCTTAGCGGACTAAGACAAAATGACAAGCTTAAATTAGAGGGAGTGCAACGGCAGTTTACCTCAAGAACTCTTGGTTTAGAAAGTGGTCTGGAATACCATGAGCGATGCGAAAGACTAAGATTAGAACCCCTCTGGAAAAGACGCCTTAAGCTAAACCTTATCTTTTACTACAAGCTAACTAATCTTCTCTTGCATTCCTCCGAGCCAATAACTAAACCTACCGCTGTCATCAGTTACAATCTTAGAAATCATCACAACCTAGCTGCTATGGAGCACTGTCAGACTTACGTGCGGTACAACTTCTTCTTAAATAAGTTTTCAGTCATTTGGAATAGACTACCAGCTAATGTGCGCGATGCAAACACACTTCCAGTGTTCATCTCCTCAGTCACCAGACTACTCAAAGATGACAATGCACTTTTGCGCCTGACTCTTACACCTTCTTTTTCACCCTACATAGATATTTTAAGTTCTTTAAACGTGTAGTTACAACAAACTACAATTATAAATTTTAATATTATTGGAACTAGATGATAAACATTTCTACACAGGACAGTAATATTAGTTTACACATAATATAAAAGTTAGCATAACGGGACTAGTTAGTTTGTGTACCAAAATAACCACAGTTACTAAACAGAATATATATGTATATATTTATTAATCACTCCTTAAGGACTCCCGTTGCTTTCTTTTGCGTTGCTGTTGTTTGTCTTCTTTTTTCTCTCACCATTTCAGCTTCCATTTGACTTTTTGAATGAGAATGAATAATGTGGATATTTGACCATTTACAATGACAAATGATCTGCAAACATTATTGGTCCAGTATCTTTCAGTTGCCTGGTTAATAACGAATTAACTTTCTCCACGACGCAACCTGGATTACATTTGTGGAATATACTCTTATACCAATGGAAAAGTATCAATTTGTAATACAACGTCACGATTGTAGCTTATAACATAACTGATCGTATCTGTAAAAATAGCTTCCTTATTACCCAATTTGGATATAAATCAAATCAAAAATAAGATTCGGATTTGTACACACCCAAGTTATATTGAGGAATTACTTCAAGCTTTATTTTTTCCCAAGTATTTTTAATCCATCCAAAACTTACTTGGGTTTTTTTGTTAATGCGAAGACAATATTCCTATATTTCATGACGTGCTCCATTGAATGACTGGTTATCATATTGTTCCCACAGACCTAAGACAAAAACGCCAGCAACCATGTAACTTAACCATAAACCAAATTTATGAAATTTATATAATGCTTATCCATGCCTGTATATTTGGTGTGTCCTACACAAGTAGGAAAAAATGTGTATTTTATTAAAACATTATTATTAATTATGATTGCTAATCGTATATGTAATTTATCATATTGATGATGCCTGTAAACTGGCGTCTCTCATGTACAAAATGAGAATATACTATTATTATTATTATTATGATCAACCAAAGACAAATCTGCAGTATCATGATCATTATCACAAATATTCAATTTACCGCCATCTATCTGGTCGACTTCATCAATTGCAAACTTTTTATCACAGAAGTAGGCAATTTTGGTTCCTCTTCATAAATCCTAAAAGGTTTTATATCTTCACTCTCACTAGTAATACTTTGTAAACTTGTGGAGTCAGAACTGTCCTCTGAGACTGTAACTCTCCTCTGTGACATTCTATTAAAAAATGGCTTACTAATTGCGACTACAGGCTTCTTGACCACACCGTTATCGTCACACAATTCGGAGTCAGACATGGATTTCACATTTAGCTTATCACTAAACTTTCTCACTGGTTCACAGTTCACCTCTATACGCACTTCTTGCAAACGTGTAAAACACAACCGTGTTTGACTTGCATCTTGTATCTTATCTGTTGAGGATGTACTACGAAACCTGTTACACTCTCTAAGTCTATATGCATTAATAGACATCATGCAGCCTTCTGGATATCCACCTCTCTGAGGCCTATTCGTCATCAATGATTGCGTTTTACCCTCAGACTGCTCTATTCTAGGGCTGAGATTCAATATACTGGCAAACTTGCTCATAGATTCATTGACACTATTATTTACCAGTTTCAGGATATCATCGAACTTTGGCTCGATACCCTCATCCTCCATACGGGAGCTTATCTTCACCCACTTCCTTTGCAGTCGAGTAGGTAGGCGTCTTGCTATTACCTCTAGGACTGAGCTCGAGTTGAGGTCACTCACGCAATTCATCGAAATCAATGCATTCTTGTAAATCAGCAAATTATCTAAAAACTCAGTGAGTGCGTGGGAGTCATCCTGTAATTGACTACCATTACCCTTAATAGCCTCGAATAACTTCCCTACAATCATCGAAGGTCTTCCAAACCTTTGACGTAGTATGCTCATAGCCTCATCGTAGCCCTCTTTTGGCTTCATAAACTTACAACACTGTATAGCTCTTGAAGCATCTCCAGTGCAACACCTCATCAAATACATTAACTTCAATTCACCACTTAATAGAAAACTACTCAGCATAATCTCAAACTCCCTTACAAATTGTAAATAATCAACCGGGTTTCCATCAAAACATCGTGGTTCAAATTTAGGGAGTTTGATGTTCCTATTATCCCTGAACGGCGAAACAGTAACATCAACCATGTCATGCTTAACATCAGACACATCGTTACAACTAACAGACAAGTCACCATGACTAACTTTCCTGTTTGCATCCAAGACACTCTGTCCCTTCTTTGACCCAGGCATTGTTGAACTTAACCCAATTCCAAAAACGTTCCAGATATTGCTTGTTCAAAGAGGACTTGACCGGCACCAGTAAGGATAAACGGTGACTATCCAAAGTCGTGCCAACTGTCCAAAACCGTTTAAAAACTGACGTTGTAGAGTCAGAAACTGTCAGCCACGTCTCGTAAACCGTCAATGCCCAGTTCTTGCCACACTGGGACTCACGCTGTTTGAGGATATAGCTGATAGAACGAAGTCAGCAAGTAAACTCTGCGACAATTTTCCAACCTGAGAAGGTTTGTAGGCGTACTGCTGTATGTCCTACAGTTCTTCAAAGGGTAGCGCATCAATGAGCAGTCCAGTGTGCTTGGTGTGTGATTTTGTACATATGTTCATATTGTACATACTGAATTGATATCATTTGTCATCTAGATGTTGGTAATTCTGTTTGTGTCCGTACGACTTCCACTTGGATCATCAACCTGAGAAGGAATGTAGGCGTACTGCTGTAAGTCCTACAGTTCTTCAAGGGTAGTTTGTCATGCCAGAATCCACAACATTTGATGTGTTGATTGTACATATGTTTGTGTTAAATAATTGTGTGAGTTCCAATTGTTGTAATTGTTGGTTAGTCTTGATTGTGTCCGGACATTCCACAACTTACAATCGTCAACCTGTGAAGGGTTGTAGGCGTACTGGTGTAAGTCCTGCAATTCTTCAAAGGAATTACATCGAGACATGATCCGCGAGTTTGTGTGTACCGCTTGTTGATATGTGTGGTGTGTCATATCAATTGGTGTTTTTTGGATTCATTGTGTTTACTCGTTGTTTTCGTATCTTGTTGTTATTACATAATTTTGTTAAAATTTTCGTCGTGATTACTTCTGAAGTTGTTCCGAGTCTTCTACATCCGTGAATGAATTGATTGATGTTAGAGACAGCAGATGGGTCGTATACGCCAGGGAGGCTATTGCTGAGAATGAAATGCACACGGAGATAATTGTTAGCTGCGGTCCCACACGCCGGGGAGAAAGAGTGTAAACGACTGAGGCTCGCATACGTCACCGTTACTAGAACTGAGGCAGAATGAGTGACGAGCGATTTCAGTGGTAATTGGTAGTGAGTAGATAAGAGGATGTGCGTAGAGTATCATGGGGTGGTGCTATGGTGACATTGCATTTTGCGAGAGTCATTCTAGCAAGTGGCGACTGTGTCACAAGATGTCAAGAGCATACCTTTAACTGGAAGGCGCATGTCGTCATTGATATGCGAGATTGTGCTGTGGTGTGTTGACTTTTCTGTTTGTTTTCCATTTCAGCTCTCTCCGTGTGATCCGGGTTCTCGCAATGACATCCAAGTCAACGTGTATTGGTCGTGATGGAAAAAAGGGATGGATCCGTATTTTGCCGGGGAGTGTCAGTGTAGTTGAAGATTGAACGATCGATTCATGCTTGTTTGCTCAAAACCAACATCCCCAATTTCACGGAGGCATCAATCAGCCAGTCATTGTCTCATCGGTCGCTGTTCAGAAAGAAGTCAGGAGACAACTGTCAGAAGTAATATTGTGATTCATTATTGTAATATTTGTTCACAGACCTTAGTTGTAACATTGTTTATATGTGGGTGTTAGAATAAATAATTCTTGTGTCGCCAAACTCGGTTCTGGTTTCTGCGTCCTTTCGTGCTAAGCGTTTCTGAAATCTTCGAGGAACAGGTTGTGTCCCAGCATAGCGAGAGCTGGGCGTTACCGGTTTACGAGACGTGGCTGACATGGGCTTTCGGCGTGTCTATTTTCCTCCCATTTTGGCAAGCTAAGCACATCTGTGCCCATTCCTTTACTTCATTATGAATGCGTGGCCAACAAAACCGACCAGTTGCGAGCGTGACGTTCGTGTTTCCCTTGTTGAGTACTTATCTGTGGTTCAGTTCACGGTGTTCGTCCGAGGTTCGTGATGAGTGAAAATTATGAATTGACGACCCTCTAATGAACGTCGAAATTGACGAATATCACAGTACACAGCCAGTAGTTCTCTGCCGAATTGCTGTACATCATTTCTTTTAATTGAAGACGCCTCGAGAAGAAGGCGAGTGGTTGCCATTGTTTGTTAACTAGCTGTTGCAGAACTCCGCCTTTTGCAGTGTTTGATGCATCAACCGAGATAATTAACAGTGCTGTTGGATCCCGATACATCAGAAGTGAGGCATACGCAATAGCTTTTTTAAACTGGTTAAAAGAATTTCGAGCAGACGTGTCTAATTCGATAGACTTTTTATTCCCTAGATGGTCTGTTAATGTAGTTGAAGATTGAACGATCAATTCATGGTTGTTTGCTCAAACCCAACTACTCCATATTTTTCGCGGGAGTCATCAATATAGCAGTCATCTTCTCATCGTTCTCTGTTCAGAGGAAGAATAAAAACTATCAGAAGTATAACCGTGATTTATTGTTATAACACTTGTTCTTAGATCTTCTGTAATAACATTATTGTCGGTTATATATTGGCCTAAGAATAAAAAATTCTTGAGTCGCCAATCAGTGTTTTGTTTTTCGCGTTGTTTAATACAAATTGTTTCTGAAAGTCTTCGATGGACAGCGTGAGGTTCAGCGCAGCAAGAGCTGGACATTGACAGTTTATGAGACTTGGCTGACAAGTTATATCAATGTCCGGGTCTTAATACACCGGACCTCACTCTGTCCTTGGAAGACTCAGAAACTATGCGTAACAACTAACACGAAAAACCAGAACGCAAATTGGTGGCTCAAAGACCGTTTATTCTCGCGCTAATGCAGTGCCAACCATTAAGTTATTGTACACAAAGTCTAAGAATAAATGTTATAACAATAAATCACAATAAGGCTTCTGATAGTATTCTCTCTTCCGACGAACAGCGGACGATGAGACGATAACTGCCGTATTGATGACTCCCGCGAGAAATATGTTGTTGAGTTTGAGCAAACAAACATGAATTGATTGTTCAAACTTCAACTACACTGACAAGGTCTTTCAATGGCTGAATCAGAGAGACGCAGCTGAAAATAAACCGTTGGTAATAGCTTACCAAGTCGTAATAACTTTCCAGAGCCGCAGATGCCTCTGGAAAGTTCAGTATCGCCTCGACTTTAATAGCCAGTGGGCGAACGCGCTCAGAGTCAGTTGTGTGACCCAGGAAAGCGAGTAAGTCAACGCCTATCTGATACTTTTGAATATTGATGGTAACACCATGTTGGCGTAGCCTTTCAAATGCCAGGTCCGAGCGTCTAAGCTGAGTTCCCTTGCCTGGACTGGCAATGGGGCAGTCGTCTAAGTATGCGTATACAAAGTTGAGACCGCGAAATACTTCGTTGATGGAGCTTTGGAATTCTGTAGACCGAATCG